CCCCCCCCCCGACACCGCAGCCATTAATGCTGCGGCGTTGTGAGGGGCCCGCGGCGGGGATTGCCTTTCAGATGCCAGCAGATTGAAACCACAGAGATGTGTTGACGGGATTTTGCTGTACGTGCCGCACATGAAGACAGCAGTGGTGCCTACAACACCGTGGCGCTTGTCTCGCTATTATGCACCTCGCTCCATTTTCATTTTAAACCGTTCTGCCTTTGGTGAGGGATTGCAGGAGTCCTTGAAGTATGAGGCGGTGGAGAAGGAGGTCATCCTACAGGTTGTCCTCGAGCGCTTGGGCGACAGGGTTTATGTGAGTTCGGCACTAGAGGGTAGCTGGCGTCTATGCAAAACTTGTGCTATGTTGCTACGGACCGATTTATGAGCTTCTTTCAGGGTCGTTCTTTCGAATTTCAACGATTGCCGCAAGGATTACAAGACCGGGTGCCATCGAAGATGAACAATGTTTTTCTTGCCTTGCTTCTCGCTCCACGATACCGCCTCTCCGACCTGTGCGACTCCCGATGAAATATACTCCCTCTGACGTATCCGCTGGGGCTAAGACCATCTCAGAATACTTTCCCGGAACGGTCTTACGCAAATTTGCCGTGAATAGGTACATTTACATTCATCCCGGATCTTCTGTACTATGTTAGGCACAAATGCAGCAACGCATTCTCGCGCGGTATGTTCGTCCGCGGTTGAGACCCAGGAGCTTGGCCCTGTTCATGCACTCACCAGATGGGTGTAAGAGTTGGCCGGGTATAGCAGGGATAGCAGCTCATTGAATGCCCTGTGCACGCTTTGCGGGCTCAGTGCAATGATACTGTTGTCGTCGAGCGCAACCTGATGCCGTGTCTACGACCCCCCCCCTCCCTTGCATCTTTCTGTACATGAGAAAACGTCCCGGGTTCCCATTAGCATGTTCTAGTGTCTGCCCTGATCCAAGATCCGCGGACACCTTCTGTGGTGACAAGTGATCTACACCAAAGGGCCGTATAACTCTCTGTAAATTGAAAAGAAACAGAAAAAAGAATGGTCTCTACAAACTCAATCCGAGGCGCGATTTCTTACCCAAACGAAAATAACACTTGGCTGGATACGATCGACCCCTATCAACAAAAATAAAGACAATCAAGGAAAAGAGAGACTGGAAGGAAACAACATGGAAGATGGCCAGGTAGGTTGTCCAGTCCTCCGTACAACATCTACAGGCACTGGGTCCTCGAATATGTGGCGGAACTGTCGGTGGTAGCAAATTGACGTCCGCACTGGCACAATGATTTGCGTGACTCTATACAAGGTCTGACGACATTAATCCTGTGCTAACTTTTTGCACCGTGTGCTCTGTTCCGTGCTGGAATCGCCTTGCGCGAAACGTGATATCGTCACAGGGGAAGAAGTTCAGTTGCGGCAAGGGCTACGGCCATGAACAACGGTACTCTCGGGTCGTGCATCACGTCAAGATACAGCTGGCCAAGAACAACACTTCTATGCAGACCCACGGATCTCTTCTGAATGAACGCTTCGGGAGGGCGGGGATGAAACACCTCAGGGACTGGTTCGTCGCGCAGAAGAAGCAGAATTACACCAATGCCACGAAAAAGCAAGGCACGGGCTCGGAAGGAGGCCGTATTCAGAGGTCTCCCAACGAATTCCAGCAGCTGAGGGCCCACATCTCCTCCGGCAACGCTGCTGCGAACAAACGTAAGTTTATGCGGGAGGTTGTCAGTGTCAAGAACGGGAAGCGCCCCAAGGTCGCGCCTGCAGATGCCGGTGGTGCCGCTGGTGCCTCGGCTGGTGGCGCCAGCAGTGGTCAGGGTGGGGGAAAGGGGAAGGGGAAACGGCGCAAGATGGCTACAGCTCACGGCGGAGGTGGCGAAACGAGCGGGGAATCCCAAGTGCCCTCTCGTGACGACGCTGCCGGGGAAGTCAGCGGTGTCAGCGGCGGGGGGGGAAAGAAAAGTCGTGGGAAGGCAGCGCCGGTGGCGGTGGAGGAGGATGCCGAGAGGGAACCCCCGATGGAAACAGGCGGAGCAGGAGGACGTGACTGGCCCTCCTCGGAATCGGAGGACCAAGATGAACTGCACAGCCGAGGGGGGGCTAGGGGAGAGGGCGGTATGTCTGACGGCGACTTGGAAGACGCGGCTGACGACAGCTCACCAGACGTGTTGGAAGTAAAGCGTGAGGGTCGCCGCAGGAAATCTGGAAAGTTCGATCCGAAGAGTTTCCAGCTCGAGGCAAGGAAGGAGAGCGACGCACGTAACAAAGCGTTCACGGCCACCATGCTGCAAGGTGTAGGAATGATCATCGGCGGGCGTGGGCAGAAAGACGGGTCATGCGCCGCCGATTGTGCCGGTGGTGCGTCTGGCGTGGATCGGGGAAAGATGGAAACAGCCGAGAAATCAGTTTCCCTACTCAGAAACAGTTGGCAGGACTCGATTTTTGGCCGCGAAGGGAGGGTGTACGGCAATTTGGACGAAGTGAAGGAAGCGTACCAGCTATAACCAAGAAGCCGTTGCCCGGTAGGAGGCCTTGATCTCCGGAGTCTACGACGGGTGATGTCTGCCTGTCCTTGGTGTAGGTCTATGTCGTGCTGCTTTCGCGTGCCAGGAAGCGTGGGTTGGTGGATGTATTCCTCCTGGAGAGCAAGAGCGGGGATGGTGCCTGATAGTTATTTGCCTTTATCAGTTGGGAAAGGCGGAGCAGTTGAAGTAGCGATCGAAATGCTGTTGTGTTTTCGTTTAGACATTGGCGCCGATTGTTGGCGTGACGGATTGAGGTTCTTATCGGGCATAGGGAGGGGGCGGGGAGTCAACGGACGAACAAATTTGGATGGGGTTACGGTGTTTGCCATTGCCACGGGGGTTGGGAGTATGATGTTTGGCGGGGGTGCGGGCTGGTGTGGGTGTGTCCGTGAGAGCGTTGGCGGGAGGGTTGCTTGAGTTGAGGGGAGGGTGCGCATGGTGCTGTAAGCCGTAGGTCCGAGATATATATTTTTCCCTCATTTTGTTCTTTTTTTTTCCGGTATGTAAATGTGTGCCGGAGGACATGTATTATCTTCGGTGTTTCAGGGGTTCGGAGGAGCGGGGGGGGCGTAGGTAAAAGCGCAGGCTTGTTGAGGTAAGCTTTCCTTGTGAGCGGCAACACGTGCGCGAGTTAGTCAATATACGTCACTATTTTTATTTTTCGGGTGCACTGCTTTTTCTGTTCTTTTTTGTTTTCCTTTTTTTTCCGGTTTCTTTTACTGTTTCTTTTCCTTTTTTCCAATGTAGGGCCACCTCGTAAGGCGTGTAGAGGCGAGCAGAGTGGCCTATCTGTCGTTGACTTCTATTGGCTCGCGGACCCATGGGGACCTTTTTATGTTCGTATATCTTTTTTGGGAAAGTTAGCCTGTGACCATGGGAATCGACCCCGTCAAGTGTTAGACTGGTACGGACAGATAAAGGTACTGGGCAGAGAGAACGGAACGGTATTTAATGTGAATACAACAAACAACAACGACGACAAGAATTCACTGCTGTTTCGATATTTTGGTCCGGGTTGTTCCATTGCTCTTACGAATTTGCATGCCGGGCGGTGCAGTGTCTCCGCTTCTCTTGTCGATTATATATTTCTCTCATATGGCCTTGGTGTGTTCTGTCAGAGAAATACACCCCGGTGCTGGAAAGGGTGACGGGGAAAGTATTCCTTGCATACTTATATATATATTTATTTTTTCAGTTGCGATTCCTCTTGGTAGGTTGTTTGTCGATTGCTTCCCTTTTGTCATGTGCCTTTCACGAGGGTTAGTAAACGAGGACTGGGTTCTTGTGGAGGGTGCTTCACCTGTGACCATGTGCTGCGTTGGAGTACGTAGCATGTTTGGTTCGTGGATCATTGTTTGTGACAGCTACAAATTGCGATGTGAAGACGACAGACAGGGCGCTGTATTCTCCGGGTGCGGACTGCCATGCGCGCCCACGCTTGAGGGCTCGGGCTTCGAAGTTTTGGTTTGCGGCCAGGAAGACGAGAAATCCTGGAGCTGAGCCCTTTGATTTCGACTCAATGTTGTGATTCAAATAAAATAATGTGATATTTTTCCTCACCGTTCACCGTCTCATGACATTTATCGGGGTGCCCCTACCACAACATAGTACACACGCACGGTCTCCTGTCCCGTTGTGTCGATACACACATGGTAGGCTGGTGCTGCAGGGGCTTGTGGGGTGCAAGACGTCATGGCATATGCCAACCGTATGCATCGAATACTTGACGCCCATCACTCGGCCACTGCAGTCAAAAGGCTTTATATTGTATTTGGCCATTCTTGGGGCTCTATTACGACGTTACAAGCCTACCTGAAACACACCCTAATTCTGCAAACATTCAACCGACTCTCAACGTTTGATGCTATGGTTAATTGGAAACACCACCCTATTGCACGACTAGTCCCTAGCTTGCCCGTAATACTCCATATCACTATACCTCCTGCCTCAAAATGCCTCATCACTTGCTAGGGCCTCGACACAAAATGAAGACATGTGCATAGACCACTGGTATTCCATACAAGAAGCAAGACACAGGCGGCCTGTCCCCTGACCCCGTAACCGTATGCTAGCGAAGGAAAACTTGAGGCAAAACACACACAGCAAGACATTGCAGATTATAATCCCACGAGCCTTAGTGTATCAACGCGCTGTGCCGTTGTTTCTCCTCGCAAGCCTCTCGTTTCGTTTGCGGTTTTGGTCCATTCGCGAGCCTGGGGCTCCCCACTCCCTCCGCAGGAAATTGTGGTAGAAGAAGCCGACCTCCCTGGCCCACTCAGAATCGAAGGGGCTGGCACCCTGCGAGAGTGCGCGTCCAGTGCCGTTCCTCGTCGGGGCTTTGTCGACTCCGTGGTCAGCAGGTGATTCGCCTTCGCGCATAAGATGAATTGTGCAGGATAATGCACGCGTTGACGATCGTCGGGCAGTGGTCGAGATGGCAGTCCAAACCATTGAGAAGAGCACGGAACTTCTTCTTCAGGCGTCCGGAAGCATGCCCTACGCGGAAGCGCATGCTCGACTACTTGTAGTCGAAAAATCGTTCTGCCCTGTTGTCGGGTTTCCCGATTGGCGTGCGCATCCACGGAGACTCGGCGAATGCGGAGTCCCCCAGGATGCACGTGCCGTTGGCGAACAGCCGTTTGGGGTTGACTGGCTGGGCCTGGTCCTCCTGTACCATCTCGTAGAACGCGGTGTACGTCAAGACCCAGCTGTCGGCGCACGCGCCTGTGGTGCTCCGGAGCAAAACCAGCCGAACATACTCTCGTTGCCCACGATCGCGAGTATCGAATGTTTGCGGCCTACGCCCCTTATTTATCGGGTGAGACTGTTTTGGTGATGTATTAACTTCACGAGAGGTCAACGACCGTCCCTCACACGGACGAAAGAGGGAGTGCTCAAAGAGCGGCTCCCACAGCAAGGAGGGGCCCCGTGAATCATCGCGGTGCCCCCTACCAAACGGTAATATTTCCAGTCTGCGTGACACAAAATCATCCAGCACATGTATCCAACACCAATGTTCGCAGACCCACGAACACCCTCCCTGGTTCTTCACGCAAGTGACTAACCATCAATTGGGCAAGAACGCCCCAGGATACATCAGAAAATACCAACATGGTAAAATATGGAGGGGAAACCCGGCGTCCGGGCAAAACCCCTCGAAACAAAAACCTTACCACCACAAAAACCGTCGCTATCACAGCGGATCACAACGGCCGCACTTATTAGAAAGGCCAAGGCGAAGACAAGAACGCGAGGAACTACGTTCCCCCGGACGATGGTCTCCCAACGCCCCCTACTCTTGCCATTGGTACACAGGCCGCAACAGTTGTGCGCCTTTCTCCGCATGGAAAACATGGCCTCTCCCAAGTGCTAGAAACTGCTACAGCAACTCCGGCAAATTCATTAGCTTGCGCCGGTGGTACTGCAGACTGACCCTGCTAAGGGCCTTGGTGAGGAGGTCCGCGTGTTGCTCCGTTGTCGGGACAAACTTGACCGAAATATCCCCCGACCTAAACAATCCTCGGATGAAATGATACCTCACGTCGATGTGTTTCGTGCGACCTGAGCTGAGGGGGTTCTGCACCAACGCTATGGCCCCCTGGTTGTCCTCAAGGACCTTGATGCTGCTACCACTGGTCTCTGGGGCAACAAACGAAAGCACAGCACGCACAAACAACGCCTCCTTGCCGCCCACCC